GCAGCTCACTCGCTGCCGTTCGCATATTCTCATAGGGGCCGAACGGCAGTGAGTGAATAGCCGAATGCCGCTGAGGTACCAAAGCCGAATAGAAAAGAAGTGAAAAGAATGGAAAAAAAAAAGTTTACAAATTATTTTAAAAATGATAAAAAAATAGGAAAGTTAAAAAAAAATGTAAATATTTTTAAGAAAAGAAAAAAAAATTAAAAAAAGAAAGACAATTGGGCGGAACTAGTGGTGACAGTTAGGTCCGCCCAACTGTTATTGGCCGGCACCTGCTAAAGTTTTCTAGCAGGTCCCAGCCAATAAATAACAACTGGGCGGAGCCAGCCGTGACATCGCGGCCGGCTCCGCACAGTTGTTAGTGTTTGATGACAGATCAGCGTCCCCAGGTCATTTGGGGACGCTGATCTGTCATTACAAAGGGGAGGAGTGAGCCGTGATATCACGGCTGGCTCAGCCCAGCTGTCATTTGGGTGGAGATTGGTCGGCTTCGGCCGACTGTTCTCTACTCTTCAGGTGTCACTACGGCTTAGTCGAGCCGAAGCATACGGCTTCGGCTCGGCTGCCTTCGGCTGCTGTACAGGCTATTGTGAATAGCCCATACAGCAGCCCTTCGGTTTGACTGAACCGAAGGGCAGAGGCGGCCGAAGAGAGCCTAAGGATCAGCCGATTCAATTAGGGTTTACTTCTACTATAATCTAACATTATGCTTTTGTATTGTGAGATGAAATCTGAAGGAAATCAGGAAAGAGGCAGGGGCACTATATACACTCCATGCAGATAATGCCCCCGGGAAGGATGGAATCAAGTCACTGGATGCACAGAACGGGAGCTCCTATTGCCGTCACTCTGTACGTCTTCTGATGCTATTTAGCACAGCAGGACTTGAAGGATCACAAGACCATCTCCATTATTGTACAATTCTTTCAGCTGGTTAAATTGTCCCTGCAGTGCGTGCTCAGATTGTCAGCCAGAATCAACCTTAAAAATGTGATTTTGCAAAAGTCGACGTGTGTTTGATGTTTTAGACCAATGTAAATAATTCCACCCAGGAAAATATCAGCTAAATTTCTGCGGTTGAGGAGGATCCTGACGTGAAAGGCTGATTCAGCTGAGATCAGGTGGAGGGTGGGATGTCATCTTGTCCTCCGGTGACTCCACTGCAAGGAAACCTCAATTGACTCACCAGGGAGTTCTCCCTTCACATACAGGGGATCTCCCATAATTGTCTCATCCGCCGACCACATGT